GCCCTTGGGGGGGGCACCGGCCCACTAGGGGCTGGTTCCCACCCTTGTTCAGCCCACTTGGCCCACCGGGGCAGGTGGCCCCACCCGATGGACCCCCGGCCACCTTTCGGTGGTCCCGGTACAATACCGATAACCCATGAAGCCATTTCGGCGATTGAAACTGGACTTCCCATATATAAATCTTCACCTTCGGACCATTCCGGAACTCCTCGTGACGTCCGGGATCTCATCCGGGACTCCGAACAACCTTCGGTAACCACATAGTATTTCCCATAACAACTCTAGCGTCATCGAACCTTAAGTGTGTAGACCCTACGGGTTTGTGAACCATGCAGACATGACCAAGACATCTCTCCGACCAATAACCAACAATGGGATCTGGATATCCATGTTGGCTCCCACATGTTCCACGGTGATCTTATCGGATGAACCACAATGTCGAGGATTCAATCAATCCCGTATACAATTCCCTTTGTCTATCGGTATTACTTGCCCGAGATTCGGTCGTCGGTATATCTATACCTCGTTCAATCTCGTTACCGGCAAGTCTCTTTACTCATTCCGTAACGCATGATCCCGTGGCTAACTCCTTAGTCACATTGAGCTCGTTATGATGATGCATTACCGAGTGGGCCCAGAGATACCTCTCCGTCATATGGAGTGACAAATCCCAGTCTCGAATCGTGCCAACCCAACAGATACTTTCGAAGATACCTGCAGTGCACCTTTATAGCCACCCAGTTACGTTGTGACGTTTGGTACACCCAAAGCATTCCTACGGTATCCGGAAGTTGCACAATCTCATGGTCTAAGGAAATGATACTTGACATTAGAAAAGCTTTAGCAAACGAACTACACGATCTTGTGCTACACTTAGGATTGGGTCTTGTCCATCAAACCATTCTCCTAATGATGTGATCCTATTATCAACGATATCCAATGTCCATGGTCAGGAAAGCATGACCATCTATTGATCAACGAGCTAGTCAAACTAGAGGCTTACGAGGGACATATTTCGATCTATGTATTCACACATGTATTACGATTTCCGGTCAATACAATTATAGCATGAACAATAAACAATTACCATGAACAAAGAAATATAATAATAACCACTTTATTATTGCCTCTAGGGCATATTTCCAACAGTCTCCCACTTGCACTAGAGTCAATAATCTAGTTACATTGTGATGAATCGAACACCCATAGTGTTCTGGTGTTGATCATGTTTTGCTCGCGGAAGAGGTTTAGTCAACGGATCTGCGACATTTAGATCCGTATGCACTTTACAAATATCTATGTCTCCATCTTGAATATATTCATGAATGGAGTTGAAGCGACGCTTGATATGCCTGGTCTTCTTGTGAAACCTGGGCTCCTTGGCAAGGGCAATAGCTCCAGTGTTGTCATAGAAGAGAGTCATCGGGTCCGACGCATTGGGAATGACTCCTAGGTCGGTGATGAATGATACGTCTCCAATGTATCTATAATTTTTGATTGTTCCATGCTATTATATTATCTGTTTTGGATGTTTAATGGGCTTTAATATGCACTTTTATATTATTTTTTGGACTAACCTATTAACCGAAGGCCCAGTGCAAATTGATGTTTTTTTTGCCTATTTCAGTGTTTCGTAGAAAAGGAATATCAAACAGAATCCAAACGGAACGAAACCTTCATGAGGATCTTTTTTTGGAACAAACGCAATCCAGGAGACTTGGAGTGGAGGTCAAGGAAGCAATGAGGCGGCCACGAGATAGGGAGGCGCGCCCAGGGGGCAGGTGTGCCCCCACCCTCATGGGCCCCTCATAGCTCCATCGACCTACTTCCTTCGCCTATATATACTCTTATACCCTGAAAACATCGAGGGGAGCCACGAAACCACATTTCCACCACCGCAACCTTCTGTACCCGTGAGATCCCATCCGGGGACCTTTTCCGGCGATCTGCCGGAGGGGGATTCGATGACGGAGGGCTTCTACATCAACACCATAGTCTCTCCGATGATGTGTGAGTAGTTTGCCACAGACCTTCGGGTCCATAGTTATTAGCTAGATGGCTTCTTCTCTCTCTTTGGTTCTCAATACGAGTTCTCCTCGATGTTCTTGGAGATCTATTCGATGTAATTCTTTTTGCGGTGTGTTTGCCGAGATCCGATGAATTATGGGTTTATGATCAAGATTATCTATGAACAATATTTGATTCTTCTCTGAATTCTTATATGCATGATTTGATATCTTTGCAAGTCTCTTCAAATTATCAGTTTGGTTTGGCCTACTAGATTGATCTTTCTTGCAATGGGAGAAGTGCTTAGCTTTGGGTTCAACCTTGCGGTGCCCTTTCCCAGTGACAGTAGGGGCAGCAAGGCACGTATTGTATTTTTGCCATCGAGGATAAAACGATGGGGTTTATATCATATTGCTTGAGTTTATCCCTCTACATCATGCCATCTTGCCTAATGTGTTACTCTGTTCTTATGAACTTAATACTCTAGATGCATGCTGGATAGCGGTCGATGTGTGGAGTAATAGTAGTAGATGCAAAATCGTTTCGGTCTACTTGACACGGACATGATGCCTATGTTCATGATCATGCCTAGATATCATCATAACTATGCACTTTTCTATCAATTACTTGGCAGTAATTTGTTCACCCACTGTAATATATGCTATCTTGAGAGAAGCCACTAGTAAAACCTATGGCCCCAGGTCTACTTTACATCATATAAGTTTCCGATCTACAATTCTAGTTTACTATTTATTTTACAATCTTTATTTTCCAATCTATACAACGAAAATACCAAAAATATTTATCTTATTATCTTTACCATATCTCACTTTTGCAAGTGGCCATGAAGGGATTGACAACCCCTTTATCGCATTGGTTGCAAGGTTCTTATTTATTTGTGCAGGTACTAGGCGATTTGCGTGTAGTCTCCTACTGGATTGATACCTTGGTTCTCAAAAACCGAGGGAAATACTTACACTACTTTGTTGCATCACCCTTTCCTCTTCA